GTTCGGGCGCGAAGCGTGCCAGTTCGAGGAACCGTTTATGGTACTCTACGACGGTGGTCGTTCCTTGCTTTAGATGGAGGAACTCTTCATACATGGATGCTCTTACGTGAGTTGGGTAGAACCGTTCGCGCAGCCGTGCCTTGAGGCTTTCCCAGTTGAACCCCGGCTCTTGTCGGTGGGTGGGTCCCTCGTGGATCCACCAGAGATCGGCCTCGTGTCCGAAGTAGAACGAGGTTATTTCCACGCGGCGTTCCTCCGGACATTCTACTACCCCTAGAATCTTATCGAGAGTCCGGATCCACTCCTCTAGGACAGCGGGGTCTTCTTCTCCGGAGAACGTAGGAGGCCGGTGGTTTGAGACTTGTCGGGCGATGTCTGAGCTTGCGTTCTTCGGAGGTGGTGGGGGCTTGACGTTGCGAAGGGCCGCATCACTTAGTGCCTGCGCGACTTGTGTTAGTTGCTGTAGAGTTTGGGTCAAGGGGTCGTCAGTGGTGGGTTCCGGGGTCCCTGATTGTCTTCTGTTTGGTGCCATGTTATCGCCTTTCTGGTCAGGGTTTATAGGAGTGTTAGATTAAAGTCCGTTGTACTTCTTATAAAGTGATAAGTGGGGAAGAGTAACGTGTGGGGGAGTTTTATGTGTAGGTTTCACAATCTCACCGCGCGTCCTAAGATTCCTAAGCCCTACGTCTCTAAATACCTAGAGTTCAAGCCTAATGTCCTAAAGTCCAGTCTTAAGAGTCTTTCCTAGGGTCAAACTTAGGCTCTGATACCAACTGTAACACCCCAGATTTTTAAGACATTTAAAACTTATATAATAAAGGTGACATCTCAATAAATCCCAAAGCGTAACATAAGAGTATGGGGTGCTATGCCACACCTGGGCTAGAGAACCCAAGTGCACAGGCAGTCTAGCTACTGTCCTCCGAAATGTAATGCATAACATGGCACGCAGGCCGAAAGGGAAACTATACTACTACTACGCTCCAGCTCTAGCGCGCTCTAGTGCTCTAACCATCAGTGCCTGAAAACCAAATATATCTGTTCAGCGAGAGATGCTGGTAACCCACTCCAACGCGTTGAAATACAATACATATAGCAATATATATAGATATATAAAAACCATTTTGAGCATGAAGCTATATCCTACGAACTCTAGCTTTAAAACCGGGAATGACTCGATAGATAATGCCAGACACAAGCAACAGTTACGATAGTCATAAGCAGTTCACAATAAATAAGGTGAATAAGGCAAGGCATAAACAGTAATCATAACTCAACATAAACAGTCCCCAACATGAATCTCGCAGTCACTCCGTCAAGATACTCATAACCACAACTCTTCCATATCTCAACACATAGCACATTTTGTTGGCGTCACAGGACCAATCGCATGCCCATACATGAGGGTCAGCGCGTATAGCTCTGACACGGCCCCGCAGCACCCTGCCCCGTATCGCAACACGGAGGGGTCGATCGCAACCGACCGATGAACCGCAGCTCATAAGAATGTGTAATCTGACTGTAGCCAGGAATTCCCATCTGACTACAGCCAGCCTCCGAACCGCAGCTCGGGAAAATGTCATCTGATTGCAGCCAGGAATTCCCATCTGACTACAACCAGCTTCTGGACCGCAGCCCAGGATACCGTCATCCGACTGCAGCCAGGAATTCCCATCTGACTGTAGCCGGCTTCTGAACCGCAGCTCAGGAATAACCAATCCGATCGCAACCGAATTGGGGCAACACGCACACATAACACATAGCAAGCACATACAACCCACATTACACGTTGGGGAGGGGAATAAACGTATAAATAGACCTATGCGTGAACCATCACCAACTAAGAATAGTCCTAAGGGGTTCATACTTCTTCCACCTAGGTCAACGGGATACCAATTCAACTAGCATGCAATATAATCGACTCATAAACCTACGAACGGTACCCGAAATACCAAACTAGACATAGGCACGACAAACGGGGTCCGTTGGGACACCACGGGGATCGGGGAAACATCAAACGGGGAAGCCGGGGTCCCGAGGGGGGAAGATTCCAGCGGGTAGCCGGTGGGTGGGGGTCACCCGCCGGCTGCCCGCCGGACGATACTGTTCCGGGCAGCGGGTCGCCGGCGGGCAGCTGCCCGCCCGCCGGCTGCCCGCTGCCGGAACAGTGTTCTCGGCCGTGGGTAGGTGGCGGGTCCCCTACCCCCCACTGACTCTTTTCATCAACTTTTCGCCCCGGGAACCGTTGTGGAACCCGAAACCATGCTTAGACACTTTACAACGTAATTCACGGCAACACGTAGACAATTAACGGATCAAATACGAGAAACGAGCGACACTTATCCTATCATGCTTTTCTAAACATAATCAACTCCCAAACATGCGATTTCCCACCCGATAATCCAAGAATAATATCATATGATACAACCTATGGTTCTAATCACTTTTATGTTAACAAGAATACGATTCGTCTTCTAATTGCAAGATTCGGTAAGAACAACACATAATCATCAAGGATACCAATTAATCATCAAGAACATCATAATTATCAAGAAATTCCCAATATCAAGATTATCAAGATTCCTCATGGAATCATCACATCAACATCAATGATAAACACAACAACTCGCCATTCACAATAATGTGGGGGGGAAACCCTAGGGGGAAATTATAGCTATGAAAATAGGTTTTGTTGAGACATGGGTTACCTCTTAGCCTTAATTAATTCCTTGGCTATGAAGGATCTTTCTTTTAAGCTTTCTTGACTTCTTGATTTCTCCTAGGGGAATTCTTGGAGCTCTTTGGGTGGTGAGAGAGATTATTGTGGTGGGGATTCTAAATGCCTTCTAAGTTCCCTATTTATATACCATGGGGGTTTAATCCTCCTAGGATTAGGTAATGGGCTTTTGGGGTGGGGGTCCACGGACTATGGTGGGCCTTTTTCCCAACTTGATCATAATAAATTATTCTTTCTTATGGGTCATAGATTAATTAATTACTTGGTCTTAGGGGCCGTAACACGGGGTGTTACACATGATTACCGAGCTGAAGGACCTGCACGCCATACGGGACAACCACGCCACCCAGGTGGACAACCTCAACTTGAAGCTTGGCCAGGCCGCCTCCGCTCTGGAGGCCGAGAAGAGAAGGAATGACCAGCTGGCGGTCGAGCTATAGAATGCCTGGGAGGTTGCTTTGATTGCCTTTAGGCAGTCCGGGGACTTCTAGAGGGAGCTGGCGGAGCACGCACGGGTTGATAAACATTATTTTTATTATTATTTTAAATAATCTTTAATAGTTAAGTTGCAATAATTTATTTATTTTATATCAATTTTATTTATTAATTTTATATTTTTTTAGCTTTACTAATATTGTTTAATTTTGGGTTGTTTTTGTTATTAAGTTTGTTTTATTATTATAATTGTCAGTTTAATAGTTTATTGCCTGTAGATTATTATTATTATTATTATTATTATTATTATTATTATTATTATTATTATTAGTATTTAATAGATAGATTATATTAGCTAGTCAATTCCTACGAGAGAAAGGCGCAGAGCTCCTAGAAGACCAGAACCATATTTTGCAAATCAATTCTTCCGGCGATCCGAATGAATAGCGGAAGATTGGAAGAAATCGTTGAGTCCAAACAATATAAATAGAAGCAATTCCGAAGAAGCCAGGGGAGCACCGACCTACACAAAATTCATTCGTCATCATCACCATTCTTCATCACCAATCTGATCCCCAAAACTCTTCACCCAACGGCCGTTCGGAGATTTCGGGATTTCTAGTGGTTCGCCGCAATTCTGGTCGGCGAACTCTGGTTTGCAGCGAAAGGAGTTTAGTTTGAGCGCATTCAATTCCATATACTGGTTCTTTCTTTATTTTCCTTCTTTCTTTATTTCTTTTTCCTTAATCTGGGCGTATTGGTTTCGTAATTGTTAGCAACAAAGTTAGCCTTTATTTTCATTTGTTAACTACAGACTATTTAAGTGATAGTGCAAATTACCATGTGCTAATTACCATGCTTAATGCTAAGTAAGAGTTAAAGTATTGATTTCATCTGCTCCCATTCTTTTCCTTAATCTGCTCTTTATTTGTGATTGGAAATCTCTTAATTCAAAACTTTGAATGTAGAGCTTAATTGCATATTTAATAACAAGTCTTGATCACAGTGCTTAATGCTAAGTATTTTGTTAATTATAATGCTGAAGGTTTAAGTACGGTTGTTAATTGAGATTACCATTGATAATGAAGCTGGTAGTGTTAACTGTTAGTTTTTTATGCCAAATTTCTAAGCTTTAATTACCACTTTCTGCACTCGTAATTAGTACTTTACATTTTAACTAAACTTTGTTTAATTGTCAGTAGCAATTTCTTGTTCATTCTGATTAGCTTTTCAATTACTCAATTTTTAGCTTTTGAAGCATTGATTTTAATTGTTTTGCAATTGAGTTGATTCTTATATTTGATATTCGTTTCTAGCACGTTAAAATTATCAAGTTAATTAATTTTAAGATTATAAATTGCATATTATCAATTCCTCTTGGGTTCGACCCTTGCTATTGCACCCTATTACTACAGTGACTCGTGCACTTGCGAGGACATTTAATTAAAAATTGTCCAACAATTTTTGGCGCCGTTGCCGGGGAAGTTGTTTATTTTGCAATTTATTTTCTTGTTCTTCCTCGTTTTTTTTATTGTGCAATTTGTTTATTTGGTTTATTTTCCTTTGCTCAATACTACTTATAACATTTATTTTTAATTTGCTTTTTGCTTTACCTATCTTGATTATCTTGATTCTTTATTTGCTGGCTTATTTTATTTAGTCAAAATATTAATTTATTTACTTGTTTTTGCTATTTTATTCGTTCATTCATTTATCTATTTATTTTATGCATGGTCGCCGTTCTTTAAACCCTGAACTATTGCCTTTAGACGATCGCATCAATAGAAAAAAGAAAAATAGTTTACCTTTAGAACCACAAGTAACAACCATGGCTGAACTTCCTCCACCCAACCCCAACCCTAGGCCCGTTCCTAGGTTGATGAAAGACTTTGGTAGGCCCCAAGTAGGAACTTCACCTTCTTGTATAGTGCTTACCAATGCAGCCAAGAATTATGAGCTGAAAACGATCCATTACAATCAGTTGCCATCTTTTCATGGTTTAGCAACCGAGGATGCCCTTACCTTTGTCCGGGATTTTTACGGGGTAGTCCAAAACTTTCCATTGAATGACCTGCCAGAAGATGAACTAAGGAAGAGGTGTTTCCCGTACACTTTAAAAGATGCAGCAAAACAATGGTTCATGTCTCTAACACCTGGATCCCTTCGGACATGGCCGGAGGTTTACAATAAGTTCATAGGTAAGTTTTATTCTCATGCTAAAACTTCTGAATTACGGAGAAAAATTGCGAATTTCTCGCAAGCTGAAGGCGAACCGTTCCATGAGGCATGGGAAAGGTTCAAAATGTTGCTCATTCAATGCCCCCACCATGGCTACCCATTGGAGCTGCAAAATCAAACCTTTTATGATGGTTTGACCCAAACCAGCCAATCAATTGTTGATAATGCGGCTGGAGGTGCCATGGGAGAAAAAACTGCGGAGGAGACCTTAGCATTGTATGAAATGCTAGGAGCGAACTCCCAACAAAAGAGCGTAAGGGGACAGACATCAGGTATGTATGAAGTTAATTCAATTACTGATTTGAAGATTCAAATGTCTGCGATGGATGAAAAAATGAATAACTTGTGTTCTATGCTGGCTACGAAACAAAGTACTGCATATATGATTGGAGAAAATGATTGTTTCGAACAGGCTAATGCGATGAACAATTTTAATCAAAGGCCTAGAAACGACCCGTATTCTAACTCTTATAATCCGGGGTGGAGAAATCACCCTAACTTTTCTTGGGGTAATAATCAAAATAATTTTCAACCAATTGCTCCACCTCAACCAAAAAAACCATCTTTGGAGGATACATTGCAAAATTATATACAGGTTTGCAATAAACGGTCGGAGGCAGATGAGAAACGGTTCCAACAAAATGAGGCTTCACTTGCAAGAAATGAGGTTTCCCTAAGAAAATTGGAAGTTCAAGTGGGGCAACTCGCAGAAGCTATGCAAGGCCATGTGCCAGGTAAGTTACCTAGTCAACCTGAAGAAGCTAAAGTTTTGACTGTTTTAAGAAGTGGTAAAGTTATTGAAAAAAGTGTGAAAGCAAATACCACTTCTGAACCAGCTGAAATAGTTGAAAAGTTGCATGTTGATGATAATAATAATAAGCATGAACCCCAACTGCATAAATCTGATAATCCTTATGTGCCCCCTAAGTCTTATGTTCCCCTAGTTCCATTTCCTGGTAGATTGCAAAATTCAAAATTTGATAAATCATTTGCTGAAATTTATGATTTGTTGTCAAAAGTGAACGTGAATTTGCCTTTGTTAGACATGATTAAAAATATGCCTGCTTATGCTAAGTTTTTGAAAGAACTAAACACCAGAAAGCGTAGGTATGCACATAATGAAAAAGTTTTCATGTCTAAAACTGTGAGTGCTGTTTTACAAACTGACTTGCCCCCAAAATTAGAAGATCCCGGTAGTTTCATAATAACTATTACTGTGGGGAATTCTAAAAAAGAAAAGGCAATGCTTGATTTAGGGGCCAGCATTAACTTGATGCTATATTCTGTCTACTTGCAATTAGGTCTAGATAAATTGAAATCTACTACAATGTCCCTCGAGCTTGCTGATCGCTCTGTTAGATATCCTAGGGGCATTGTAGAAGATGTTTTGGTCCAAGTTGATAAATTAATAATTCCTGCTGATTTTGTTGTTTTAGACATAAATAAAAAGTGTAATCACGAGCAGGACATGCCTATCTTGCTTGGCCGACCATTCATGGCCACAGCAAAAACGATGATTGATGTCCAAAATGGAAAATTAACTATGACTGTTCTTGATGAAACTGTTGAATTTTCAATTCTGAAATCAATGAAATTGCCTGAAAACGATAATAGTCATTGCTTTGCTGTAGATGTTTTAGATTCAATAATTTCTGCTGAGTTACTAGATGAATATCTGTTGAAGGTCGAAGAGATTGAGGCTGATGAAGTGGAATCCAGCCAAAGCACAATAAAAGAGGGGAGTGGTGAAGGAGGTTCAGTTACAGGCTGTTTGGAGCAAATTAAGGAAAAACTCCATCCTTCAATTGAAGCTGAAGTTCCACCCAAGCTTGAACTGAAACCCCTTCCTAATTCTTTAAAATATGCTTTCTTAGGTCCAAATAATACTTTTCCTGTAATAATTGCTTCTAACCTTTCACATGAGCAAGAAACAAGCCTACTAGTGGTATTAAAAAAATATAAAAGTGCAATTGGTTGGACAGTAGACGATATTAAAGGAATAAGTCCGACGGTTTGTATGCACCGGATCCTTCTTGAAGAAGGGGCAACTCCTGTCCGCCAACCTCAACGCAGGTTGAATCCAAATATGAAGGAGGTTGTACGTGCAGAAGTCCTAAAGTTGCTTGACTCAGGTATTATTTACCCAATTTCAGATAGTAAGTGGGTAAGTCCAGTTCATGTAGTGCCAAAAAAATCTGGGATTACTGTGGTTACTAATGACAAAAATGAATTAATCCCAACTAGAACAGTGACGGGGTGGCGAATGTGCATAGATTATAGAAAATTAAATGCCGCCACTAAAAAAGATCATTTCCCTTTGCCCTTTATTGACCAAATGTTAGAAAGATTAGCTGGACATGCTTATTATTGTTTCCTTGATGGCTTTCAAGGTTATTTTCAGATTCCTATTGCACCTGAAGATCAAGAAAAAACGACATTTACATGCCCTTTTGGCACGTTTGCTTACCGCAGAATGTCATTTGGGTTGTGTAATGCACCTGCGACTTTTCAAAGGTGTATGATGTCAATATTTTCTGATATGATTGAACGATATGTTGAGGTGTTTATGGATGATTTTTCTCTGTTCGGTGATTCTTTTGATGATTGTCTTGCTCATTTATCTTCTGTGCTTGAAAGATGTGTTAAAATGAACTTAACCTTGAGTTGGGAAAAAAGTAATTTCATGGTTAAAGAGGGCATTGTTTTGGGGCATATAATTTCTGACAGGGGAGTAGAGGTAGATAAGGCTAAAATTGAAGTTATTTCTAAATTACCTCCCCCTACATCTGTGAAAGAAGTGCGAAGTTTTCTTGGTCATGCAGGTTTCTACAGGCGCTTCATAAAAGATTTCTCTAAAATTTGCAGGCCTTTATGCAACTTGCTGGGAAAAGATGTTGTTTTCAAATTTGATGATGATTGCCTTTCTGCTTTTAAGTTTTTGAAAGAAAAATTAACTGCTGCTCCCATTCTTGCGGCACCTAATTGGGAGTTTCCTTTTGAAATAATGTGTGATGCATCTGATTATGCCGTAGGTGCTGTGTTAGGACAAAGAATTAATAAAATGCCTTATGTGATTCATTATGCAAGTAGAACTTTGGATAGTGCTCAGGCTAACTATACAACTACTGAAAAGGAGTTGTTGGCTATAGTCTTTGCATTAGAAAAATTTCGTTCTTACTTAATTGGTTCTAAGGTGATTGTTTATTCTGATCATTCTGCTCTGAAATTTTTGTTGGCTAAAAAAGATGCAAAACCTAGACTAATAAGATGGATTTTGTTGTTACAAGAATTTGATTTAACAATCAAGGATAAAAAAGGGTGCGAGAATGTGGTAGCTGACCATTTGTCTCGTTTACCCGAAGTAGCTAATAATTGTCATGATGTTAATATTCCTATCAATGACAGGTTTCCGGGTGAACAGTTGCTCTCCTTACATAATAAAGAGCCTTGGTATGCAGATATTGTGAATTATTTAGTCTCGGGTCAATTTCACCCAGGCTTAAATTCACAAAGAAAACAACATTTTCTCTCCAAAGCAAAACATTTCTTTTGGGATGAACCTTACTTGTTTAAAATTTGTCCTGATCAAATAATTAGAAGATGTATCCCTGAGTTTGAACAGCAAAATATTTTGAATCACAGTCACACTTTAAATTGCGGAGGACATTTTAGTGGAAAAAAAACTGCATTAAAAGTTTTGCAATCTGGTTTTTATTGGCCTACTTTGTTCAAGGATGCATTTGAATTTTGTGCTAAGTGTGACAGGTGCCAGAGGACTGGTAATATAAGTAAGCGTCATGAAATGCCCCTTTCGAATATTTTGGTTGTTGATCTCTTTGATGTTTGGGGAATTGATTTCATGGGGCCTTTTCCTACATCCTTTGGTTTTAATTACATTCTTGTGGCTGTTGATTATGTGTCAAAATGGGTTGAAGCTGTAGCCACTAGGACAAATGACAGTAAGGTTGTTTTGAAATTCTTAAAAGATATTTTTGCCAAGTTTGGGACACCCAGAGCTATTATTAGCGATGAAGGTACCCACTTCTGTAATAAACTTTTTGCAGGTCTTCTAAAAAAATATGGCATTACTCATAAAGTGGCTACTCCGTACCATCCACAAACCTCTGGCCAAGTCGAGGTGAGTAACAGACAAATCAAGGGAATTTTGGAAAAAACAGTGAATCCTTCTCGGAAGGATTGGGCCATTAAGCTGAATGATGCCTTGTGGGCTTATAGGACAGCCTACAAAACCCCAATTGGTATGAGCCCGTACAGGTTAGTATTTGGCAAGGCTTGTCATTTGCCAGTAGAGTTAGAACACAAAGCCTATTGGGCTATTAAATTCCTAAATTTTGATTTGCAGAGGGCTGGTGGAATAAGAAAATTGAATTTGAATGAATTAGATGAAATAAGGAATGAAGCCTATGAAAACTCAAAAATCTATAAAGAGAGGACTAAAGTTTATCATGATAAGTTTATTTTGAGAAAAAATTTTGAACCTGGGATGAAAGTTTTGCTATTTAATTCTCGTTTGAGATTGTTTCCAGGTAAGTTAAAATCTAGATGGACAGGGCCTTTTGTGGTACGTGAGGTGTTTTCTCATGGTGCATGTGAGATTGAAAATCCAGAAACAGGTGAAAAATTTAAGGTAAATGGGCAAAGACTAAAGCAGTACCTTGAGGGTGAACCCTCCGCCCTGATTGTTGAACGGGTAGAATTGCAGGACTCTGAATGCCCATGTCTAGCTACTGACAATAACTAAAGCGCTATTGGTAGGCAACCCAATTCTCTTTCCCTATCTCCTTGATTTTCATGTTGTTTGTGTTCCTCTTATAAGTGTTGTTCTCCACATTGCGGACAATGTTTGAACTAAGTGTGGGGAGGGAATTTCTATTTCATTCTATTTATCATTCTGTTAAAAAAAAAAAGATTATTTTACTTTTAAAAATAAATTAGTATGAACTTAAACTTTTACCCAATGAGCCTTTTGAATAGCCTATGATGAAAATAATGCATGTATTTGTCAACTCTTAGTGTGTATATTGTTTTTGACTAGTTGTTAATTTCTTTAATTTTATATCTTTGTCAAATCAAAACAAAAAAAAAATAATAAAAAAACAAAAAAAAAAAAACAAAAAAAAAAAATAAATAGAATATGAAAATCACAAATACACTTATATGTTCTATACAATTTCTTTAATAATCTATATGTTGATTTCAATTTGTATTACCTTTTTCAAATTCTTAAATAATTTTTGAGTGCTGTAAATTGTGGTGTAGTGTTGGTTCAAGGATCATCTGTATGGCATAAGTGAGGTGAAAAGAAAAGATTATAAAAAGAACATTTTTTAAAAAATATAAATGAGTGTTTTATTTATTCTATTTTCAACAATTTAAGAGATTCTACTCCGCTGAATCAGACACCTATACACATGTATAATAAATAAATCAATAAGTGTTGTGGTCTGGTTTATGAGTACACACAAAATTGAAAACCCAAACAAGTCTGGCGTAAAATGGCGAGGTTTTTGGGAAATTCTCTTTGGAAAAAGTCAAAATCGAAAAATAATGAGTGAACTTTGGAAGAGACGAGCAATTGCGTTTTAATTTTTAATAAATGCATTGATCCTTGTTTCCTTCACGTTTTGCACCTGCACTATGATAGAATATTGCTGAATTTGGCTTGGGTTGTATTTTGTGAAGTTTTCATATTTTTCTATTGAGTTTTTGTATAGCTCATATAAGGGTATTAGCACACGAGCAAAAATTTATATCTATTTTAGCTGCTAAAGGTTTTAATTTTTAGTCAATTGTTTTATGCATTTTTTGAGTTGACATTTATTTTGCATTGATGAGGCAAATAAATTTGAAAGTCTATTTGGATAAAGTTCGTTCTAATACTTGATTTTATTTTTATTTTTATTTTTATTTTATTTTTATTTTCTTTATATTTTCTTTTAATAATATCTTTGCTTGAGGACAAGCAAATAAATAAGTGTGGGGAGATTTGATAAACATTATTTTTATTATTATTTTAAATAATCTTTAATAGTTAAGTTGCAATAATTTATTTATTTTATATCAATTTTATTTATTAATTTTATATTTTTTTAGCTTTACTAATATTGTTTAATTTTGGGTTGTTTTTGTTATTAAGTTTGTTTTATTATTATAATTGTCAGTTTAATAGTTTATTGCCTGTAGATTATTATTATTATTATTATTATTATTATTATTATTATTATTATTATTATTATTATTATTATTATTATTATTAGTATTTAATAGATAGATTATATTAGCTAGTCAATTCCTACGAGAGAAAGGCGCAGAGCTCCTAGAAGACCAGAACCATATTTTGCAAATCAATTCTTCCGGCGATCCGAATGAATAGCGGAAGATTGGAAGAAATCGTTGAGTCCAAACAATATAAATAGAAGCAATTCCGAAGAAGCCAGGGGAGCACCGACCTACACAAAATTCATTCGTCATCATCACCATTCTTCATCACCAATCTGATCCCCAAAACTCTTCACCCAACGGCCGTTCGGAGATTTCGGGATTTCTAGTGGTTCGCCGCAATTCTGGTCGGCGAACTCTGGTTTGCAGCGAAAGGAGTTTAGTTTGAGCGCATTCAATTCCATATACTGGTTCTTTCTTTATTTTCCTTCTTTCTTTATTTCTTTTTCCTTAATCTGGGCGTATTGGTTTCGTAATTGTTAGCAACAAAGTTAGCCTTTATTTTCATTTGTTAACTACAGACTATTTAAGTGATAGTGCAAATTACCATGTGCTAATTACCATGCTTAATGCTAAGTAAGAGTTAAAGTATTGATTTCATCTGCTCCCATTCTTTTCCTTAATCTGCTCTTTATTTGTGATTGGAAATCTCTTAATTCAAAACTTTGAATGTAGAGCTTAATTGCATATTTAATAACAAGTCTTGATCACAGTGCTTAATGCTAAGTATTTTGTTAATTATAATGCTGAAGGTTTAAGTACGGTTGTTAATTGAGATTACCATTGATAATGAAGCTGGTAGTGTTAACTGTTAGTTTTTTATGCCAAATTTCTAAGCTTTAATTACCACTTTCTGCACTCGTAATTAGTACTTTACATTTTAACTAAACTTTGTTTAATTGTCAGTAGCAATTTCTTGTTCATTCTGATTAGCTTTTCAATTACTCAATTTTTAGCTTTTGAAGCATTGATTTTAATTGTTTTGCAATTGAGTTGATTCTTATATTTGATATTCGTTTCTAGCACGTTAAAATTATCAAGTTAATTAATTTTAAGATTATAAATTGCATATTATCAATTCCTCTTGGGTTCGACCCTTGCTATTGCACCCTATTACTACAGTGACTCGTGCACTTGCGAGGACATTTAATTAAAAATTGTCCAACACGGGCCAACGCCAAGAGCATTGCTATGGAGTAGCTGGCTTCCGAGGCTGGCCAGGCTTATATGGCCGATGTTGTGACGAAGGACTACCAGCTCGGGATGGCGGACATTCAGATGGAGATCTACGCTGTCCTGAGGAGGATGTATAGTGACTTCAGCCCGCATCGATATGGACTCATGACTGCCTTGGTGGACGATAACATGAACCCTGCTACCCGGCCCCGTATGTAACCAGGGGGGCGCCCGACCTGGACCATCAGGTGGCCAAACAGGTTGGCGGCCAAGTTGGCTTAGCCGATGATCATAATGTTTTGGCAGGTGCTCAGGAACCGGCGTTGCTAGATCAAGATGGGGAGGATGAGGCCGAGTTTGCCAAGCAACTGCAAAGATGCCGACGTGACCAAGCTGCTGCAACTCCCGGGAACGCTCCCCCTAGACCAACGGAGGGGGCCAACTACAAAAGTCCGGGACTACATTAGGTCACCAAAGTCATTTAGAACGAAATTGAGAAAAATCATTATTGTTGATGATCATTTTGGATATTAACTCAATTTAATTCTCTAATGTTTGGCTGAAAGTCAGAAAATTATTTTATATTTGGCTCAAAGTTAAAAAATTATATTTTTTCCGTTTGGTTCATTTTCATTAAAATGAACATATTATTTGTTATAATAATAATAATAATAATAATAATAATAATAATAATAATAATAATAATAATAATAATAATAAGTGGTGCAGTAGTGGTGGTGTGGTGTGGTAGTGGTTGTGGTTGTGGTAGTGGCGTGTTCTAATAATAATACGGAAAGAAAAAAATTGAGTGAGAAGATAAATATGCAGGGAAAATAAAGAATTAAAAAAATATTTTTCAACTAAAAATAGGATGACATTTTCCACCAAATTGGACTTTTTCCCATGACATTCCTAGGGATGGCAATGTGCCCCGTCCCCGTTGGGGATCCCCGTCCCCGTTGAGGACGGGGACGGGGACGGGGAAAAGTTTCGGGGAACGGGGACGGGGATGGGGAGTTTGTGAAATTCCCCAGTGGGGACGGGGATACCCCTCCCCGCCCCGTCCCGTCCCCGAATAATATATATATAGTTTTAGGAATTAGAAATTAGATATAGATTATTAGAATTTCTTTTTGCGTGTGGCTAATACAGTGTACTGTTGATTTAAACATAATTAGTTAATTACATAAAACATAGTTGTATACTGTGTATATTGAATATTACATAGAGTATAATGTATGTAATTAAACATAATTGTATAAAGCATTGTGTACTGTGTATATATATTGAATAGTATAGAATATATGTATTTAAATTCTAAACATAATTACATAAGCATTGCTATACTAATACTGTGTATATATTCAAATATATTATATATTATTGAATATTGAATGTTGAATTTTTCTTTTATAGATTTCGATTTTTTAAAAAAATTGTACAATGGGTTGATCGGGGACGGGGAATCCCCGTCCCCGCCAAATTCCCCGTGGGGACGGGCACGGGGAATTGTTTCAAATTCCCGCTGAAGATGGGGACGGGGACGGGGACGGGTTGGCGGGGACGGGGACGGGGAGTATACTCCCCGCCCCCGCCCCGCCCCGTTGCCATCCCTAGACATTCCTTTGGGTTTATTTTTCTTAATTTCCAAACACGAAAAAATTCAAAAAAAATTGACTTTAGTAAGTCATCTTTTGTGTTTTTCAACCGAACATTAATGGTTAATTAATTTGAATCCTGGAATAATTTTCTTCATCAATATTTTTTAAAGAAAATGTACCGGGCTACCAGCAAAATAATGCAGATAGGAGGCAACTTGTGAGGATTAGGAGAATCGGCCGCCATAATACATACAATAAAAGTATCCCTCCAGCTGGCTGCTGCTGCAATATACAGATCAATGTTGCTATGACAAAAGAATAATTGTACTGATTTCTTGTCCTCACCTACTGATCACAACATAATCCTTTCCTACACGGCTACACTGCCCTGGGTTAAGTTGTTCATATTTTTAGAAGTAGAAATAAGCTAACAACATAAATTACTAACAGTAAAAATAATTTATCATGTTATGGTAGTTTTCCCTTTATTTTCTTCCAATAACAACTCCATAAAGCCTTGAAGCATGCCACTGCTTATTAAAGAGCAAATTCCCAAATAACACTACCTACTTAAAACAAAGAAAACTGCCAATTCAGAGCCTGAAATGCAACAAGGCAGAAGTACCATCAAGGCCCTTTGCTTGAAAATGTGCTACAAACTCCTTAACTGTGGTTTCCCTATACTTGGGTGGATTTTCCTCTGACAATAGTTCCTTAATTGGTCCATAAACCCGCGAGAATGGTA